ACAGTAAATGTGGTCTCACAGGAACTGCTCCCCACTTCATTGGAAATCTCAAATGTGTACTGGCCACTGTCGTGCAGTTCAGCTGAATAAAATTTCAGCTGGGCAATGTTGTTTTTGAAACTGATTCGGTACTTTTTACTGGCAACCAAGGGCCTCCCATCTTTGTACCACTTGGGCTTGAGTTCTGGGGTGCCTGAGACTGTGTACTCCAGGGTGGCTGGGTCCCCTGCGGTCACTTGGATCAATTCTGCTCGCTCAATGATTTTGGCAGGTTCTATAAAGGTATTAGATAGTTAGGATTCCTTAGCATGAATCAAGGCTTTAACTTTAAGTGCAAAGGGCCAATTAAAAGTTAACTGTCCCTCCACGAACCTTTCACTATTAACTCCCCAACAGACGTCTGACTGCCGGCTTCATTTTCAGCCAGGCATGTGTATTTGCCACCAAAACTAATCTGAACGTCAGGGATGGTCAACACGGCAACTCCATTGGAAAAGCTCATTTTAATTTTTCCATCTTCTTTAACAACCTCCTGGCCTTTCATCCATGTGACAGAAATGGGCTCTGAGCCTCTCACGGCAGCTTGTAAGGTGACAGTTTGTCCCGCTAGAGCTGTGAAATCATCTACTTTCTTGACAAAGGTTGGCGGTTCTAGTTAAGGAAGAGAACATACAAACGTGTCAGTTCCCTCACGTTCGCTCTCAACCCCCATCTCTCCCGCAGGGCTCCATTCACGTCACCTGCTTCCCAGGTGCAACACAACCATGTCGCAGCATTCGTTTATTGGAAAGAAGAAAGAAATGATACGAAGAATTAACAATTCCATTCAAGAGAGTCACAGAATATAAATGTTTATCAGCAAGTCAGTGGCTTTTCATGTAACTTCCTTTGGCAACAAAAAATAAATGTTTATCAGCAAGTCAGTGGCTTTTCATGTAACTTCCTTTGGCAATCAGATAATAAATATTTCTATTCGTATCAAGACAAAGACTGTGAGAGAGAGCTCTGGGCCCCAAGTTCATAGTAAGACAAATCACATTTTAAAGTTTAGAAGAAGAGAACGAATTAACTTTCTTTCTGTAGATTAAGAAAGCTATTTGGACAATTCATTAGAAAAATACTGCTCCCCCCAAACACACTAACCTTTTAATAAGTGTGTCGCGACACAGCCGCACTTCCCAACTTCATTAGCGACTACGCATTCGTAATCACCGACGTCCGCGCTATTGAAAGATGCGATTTCCAGAAACACAAAAGACTTCTGAGCAAACACCCTGTACTTTTTGCTACTTCGAATTTGTTTCTTATCTTTAAACCAGCTAATTTCAAAGGGTCCCGTGCCTGCGACTTCACACTGAAGCAGAGCGTTTGCCCCTCGCACTATGTCTGCAGGCTCAAGAGTTTTGATGAAAGAAGGCGGTTCTAAAAAGGCATGAAAGCACAGGGTGAGTTGTGAGCTACAAGCATTCAAAGGAAACATTTCTTAGCAAAACACGGAGCAGTAACTCAGGAGACAAACCTTTGATAACTACTTCAGTACTGCAGCTGTCACTGCCCACATCATTGGTGGCTTCACAGGAGTATGTCCCACTGTCGTCAACTTTTACATCAGTGATGTCGAGGATAGCCTCAGAATTGACAAAAGATATTCGGACTGTGTTACTTTCACTAAGTTCTTTGTTGTTTTTAAACCAAGTGACCTGGATCACAGGTGAGCCTTTCAACTTGCAATGGAGGCGTGCTGATTCACCCGGGAGCATTAAATAAGAGGGGTCCACCTTCTTCACAAAGGACGGTGGCTCTACGTGACGTGTATAAAAAAACAGAAAAAAAGATGGAGGAGATGACTGAAGCGTACACGCCACAAAAGAAAAAGCAGGCACATGTGACAAAAGACAGAGCGTACAGAGAAACAATGTTTACAAGACTTCTGAACAAGCCATGATGCTTCCAGCCCTTCCCTTCATTCTGAACCACTTTCCCATCTCTTGATAAAAAGAAAAAAGACAAGCAAGTAGACTACATCTATATGAAGAGTGATTTTTTTTTCTAAACAAAGATTTCAATAATAGACATGCTAACATGAATGGGGTAGGGTATCCCACCAGGCCTCAACCTACACAAAGAAATACAGGCAGCCAAGAAATGCTACGGGCATGAGAAATAGTCTTCCTCAGGGAAGAGCACATCAATTGGTTGGTTATCCCACATCAAATGGTTTTAGTACTAAAATCACATTTACAAGTAGTATTATACAGACAGAGCAAGTTGTATTTATTTATTTAGGAGTGTGTGTGTGTGTGTGTGTGCAACAACAATTAATGAAAAAAAGAGGCTATGGATTTGAAAGAGAACAAGGAGGGTTAATATGGAAGGGTTTAGAGAAAGGAGGGGAAATGGAGAAATGAAGTAATTATAATTTCAAAAAAAGAAATAATTTAAAAAGATGGTTAAGAGTTGCCCACACATGAATTCTTAGAAGAAATTGTAAGCAGGTTTCTGTTAATTGCCTTTTTAAAAGAACAAGTAAGTGAATTCTAAAGAAGATTAAACAAAAATAAAAACCACTGCCCACCCCCCCCCAAAATTCAACCAGATAAAATCAGGACTTTCCTGTACCCAGAGGTTTGCCTTAGGAATTAAATTAGTAACAGAGGGTATGGCTGGTACAGCTAACAATCTTTCTTCTAAGGCTTCCTTGCAGACAAGGAGGTGGCAGATGGCTGCCTGGCACCCTTACCTCTCACAGTGACCATGGCAGATGAGGAGCTGCTCCCAGCCTCGTTGGAAGCTGTACACATATAGGTTCCAGAATCTTTTAGTTTGGCCAGAGGAATCTCAAGCGATGCTATTTTATCTTCAAAATAGATCTTGTAATCTTTCCCAGCAGGCAGCTTTTGACCATCTTTGCTCCATGTGACTGTGACTTTCCTGTCTTCATCTACCTGGCACTCAAGGTGAATCTTCTTATTGATGGCCGACTGCACAGCCTCTAACTCTTTAATGAAGTGGGGTTTGTCAATGATGGTCAACTCTGCTTGGCAGGTATCGGCTCCAAATTTGTTGGAAGCCTTACAAGAGTAAACACCCCTGTCCTGAACAGTAAGATTTGAGAGCTCTAAACTGTGTTTGTTGTCTGCATCTGCAATCCTGCAGTTAGGTGATGGTGACAGGGCACTACCATCTTTCTGCCAGATGGTCTCGATCACAGGAGTCCCTGACACTGTGCAGAGGAACTTGGCTGCCTTACCCACAAAAGTTGTAAGGGACTTGGGTCTGGAGAGGAAGGTTGGTGGATATGCCTCTGTAAAAGAAAGGTTTTCATATTACATGGGGTCTCCATCAAAGTTCTAAAGTTCTTCCTGCAATTACATATTCCAAGACAGAGAAAAGATAGGTTATGCCTTTAGGTGAACACATGACCTTATCTTAAATAACAGCCCAGTGGTGAGACCAAAGACTGCAAAAGGAAGGGGACAAGAACTCTTGACAAACTCTCTAGCAAAGGACAAAGGCCCCCTCGTGAAGGAACGTTACTAAAGCTTTGTCTGTTCTGAGGGTTAATAGGTTGGAAGATTTGATAAGCAATCCAGCTGATATTCTCATTCTGTAGAAGACCAAAAAGAAGGTAAGAAAATGCACATTGGCTGGCTGAAGATGAGGTAAGATATTACAGAACCTCACAAAGCTCTTTCTAACTCTGATAAATGCCAGGAAATCCCCAAATCACTTAACTTTAAATGCACCCCAGTAGGGATTTTGCACTTATAAAAATACTTCACAGCTAAAGCTTCCCATTTCCATTCTCCACTCTGTAGCAAAGCTTTAGGATCTGCTCTGCTGACAAAGGACACAGAATCTGCCTCCTTGCCCTTTGCTGCTATAGCAGAAGCTTTGGTTCAGCCCCATTACTGAGCTGGGCTAATCTGGGTGCAGAACTGTCATTAAGACTAATGGGTCACTTTGGGCAGGTTTCTTAGAATCTTGTAGATTTTTTGGTTGTATGATAAAAAGGTGCTTCCAAGAACTCTTTTCCCTGAGGTAGATGAGTGAGCTCCCTTCCCCCTGACAACCCCACCCAAGAGCAGCCCTCCTACCCAAGAGTATCCTCTTCCATCAAACTGTGAGGTCACCACCAAGAAAAGAACAGGGGGAGGGAAGGAAGGGAGGGAGAGACAGAGGGAAGGGAGGGGAGGGGAAAGCAGGACAGATTTTTTTTTTTTTTTTTTTTTTTTTAAGGGGGAAATTTAAGTTTGCTAAGGAGGAAATTCAAGCATGTGATGATTATTAATAAATTGAAATTTATCCTATGTGTCAATTAGGAAATTGAGAACAGAACATGTTGTAGTTTCCCTTATTTTAAAGTTAGGAATGAATAATGCCCACAGTGGGCATCCTATTTTAGCCCCTTTCTTATTGTAGAACCCTGTTTAACTTTAGCTGCATACTTGATTTATTTGAAATTCTGGCTTTATTTGTAACTCTGTTTCTGATTTGTTATTTGGGTTAATATTAATAATTGGAGCTTTTGGTTTTTTTGTTTTGTTTTCTTTTTCTTTTTTGAGACAGTGCTTTTCTGTCGCCCTCCCTGTTCTGGAACTCACTCTGAAGACCAGGCTGGCCTTGAACTCAGATATCCACATTCCTCTGCTTCCCGAGTGCTAGGATTAAAGGCATGTTGCACCACTACTTGTTTATTTATTTACTTACTTATTATTTTAGTATTAACAAACAGTCCTCAAATGTTTCTTATTAAGGGTAAAGGTTCATTTGATGGCTTAACTACTTTTTTTTCTCCCACAAACGAAAGAACATTTGCTTTGGCTACTGATAGCAATGTGCCTATAAAGGACTGTCTCCCATCCTCTCTGTGGCTCTTAATCAATGTGATACCATGGGGGGGGTCTCCACTGGTGACACTCTCTGCACCTGTACAAAAAGCAACACATGCACTAATATGAACTGAGGTGACAGTGTCCACGTCAGTGTGTGGCATTTACCTGTGACAGTCAGAGTGGCCGTGCAGCTGACACTGCCATACTCATTGGAAGCTTTGCAGGTATACTCGCCACAGTCGACAACTTGGGTTCTCAGGATTTCCAGGCTGGAGACATAATTTGAAGATCGAATAGAACACTTGTCACTCTCATAGATTTCTCTGCCAGCTTTGAACCACTGGAACCGGACGTTGGGGGCACCTTGGATCTCACAGGTGAATTTGGCTAGGTGACCCAGAGCTACTTCCAGGGGCTCAATTCTCCTTTTGATCACAGGGGCGACTGCAAAGGAGAGCAGAACCCATTAGCATGCCCCCTTATTAGGCAACCCACTTGCTTTTTTTCCAGACAAAGTTTTGTTGCTGTTAATGAAATAAAATAGTTGAAATTGGCGAGACAGGTAGCAGCAGTCTAAGACAGGTGACCAGAAAAAAATGAGAATGAGTGTGAAGGCAAACCCAAAAAAGGTCCAAAAACAGCTTGTGACATTTTCAATTGTTACTCTGCAGTGACTTGGAGGGGGGTTATTAAAATGTGATGCTATGGGTGTGCATGCATAACAACAGGATACATCGCTGAAATACACCGTGATGACTAGGAGCTGAAAACAAAGTGAACACACAATATCCAACTAAAGTGGTGAAGTTAGACAGTAGCCAGTCAACAGAACTAAATAAACACAGGCAGACTACTAATCATGGTTATTTTGAATTTAGAGAAACACCTGGTGACTTCAGAATGCCCAGGTCCTGAGAAGTTTTTATCACATATTGTCAAAACACTTTCACATGAAAACATATTTAGCATTATTAAACATATGAAAATATGTTTTATTTTTAAAAATCAGTAGTGGTGTGGCTATGAAAATGTACTGCTTAACAAGGCAGTAAGAAAGAGATGTAGGTTAATAACCATGATTATGTCTGTACTTCTTTCATTCCTATTCTACATGGCTGACATTCTGGAAAAATGGAAGAGAAGTGAAGATTCAGCGGTGAAACCTAAATCACTACAACTCAGTGGGTATTAGAGCGGGGTCCATTTCATTCCTGAAGCCCAACCTCTTTCTCCGACAGTGAGCTTTGCTGATGTTGTAGCTTTTCCACTGTCATTTGAGGCCTCACAGACATATTCCCCTTCATCCTCTGCCTTTACTGTGGCAATTACCAGGGTATAGGCATTCTGATCTTGTAAACACTTGAACTTTGTATCTGAAGGCACCAGTTTACCCTTGAAATACCAGTTTACCTCCTTCGCATTTGATATGGATGCCATAAGATGGACAGTATCGCCTTCCTCAGAAATGGTATCCACTAAGTGTTTAAGTACAGTAGGGCAATCTTGAGCTAAGGTACCATCAGTTTCTTGTGACTTTACGGTACTGGCCTTCTGGGTGCCGTGCTCTTCTGCTGGCTTCAGAGTCTTGGCCTGTAGAACTGCATCCTTATCTCCGTCTTTGAACTGACTTTGCACATTCAGACAACTGACCTCTTCTTTGGAGACAAGATACTCTGATTGAACTTCTGGTTCTACAGTGGCCTCAACTTTCTGTACATCTGAAGCTTGGTCTATTCCACCCTGCACACCGACTTTGGCTTCTTTCTGAATTCTGGGATCCTCAGCTGTTAAGATGTTTATCTCCTCACATATAATGGAGCACAAGGCATCCTTAAGTTCCGTTTCTAGGTTAGCCATTTGAGGATCGATGTCTTCAATAGTGATGGTTAACTCTTCAGTTAGTGACTTCACTGAAGTAATAAGGTAGGTGCACAGGACACATTTGGGCTCCTCAGTGAAGTCTACAGCCTTGACCTCCACCTTGTCAATGTTTCTTAGCCACTCAGAGAAAAGACTGCCTTGCTCACTGGCCACTGCAGCTTGCAAAGCCCTGCGGACCTGAGTTTTCAGATGTAATCGCTGCTCGTCGGGAATACCAGGAAACAAAGTTTCCTTAGCAAGCAAGTCACTTCCCTGTACCTCTATCACTCCCTTTATGGCCTCTGGCTCTTTCTTAGACATAGAGGTTTGGCTGGCGGGTGCTGTCATATTCTCTGATTGTTCTTCCTTGAGTAGGACCTGCTTTTCCTCAAGGGCTAGTGGGAAGCTTAGGGACTTGTCTTCCTCAGTCCTCTCTGCAACATCTTGCCCTGCGCTTTCTAGTGAGTCTGCATTCACCATCAGGATTTTGCTTTCTTCTGTGCATGTGTGTTCCAAAGGCACCCGGGGCTCAAGATTCACATTAGAGATCACAACACCAGGACCATCTAGACTTTCCACATATCCCTCAGCTAAGCTCTGACACAGGAGGAGAGCTCTTTGCTCTTTGTCCACTTCAGAGACTAACTTTGCTTCTGGCTGAAGGGTTTCGCCAGCCACTTGTGCTGCAGATGAGGCACTTGGTAAGGTGTTCTCAGGCTCTTCAAGCTGTAGAGTGTCTTCTCTGGGAAGGGTTCTCTGAGGATGGGCAGGCTGCAACTGTAAAGTAGGAGGTGGTTCTTTGTCTGGCTGTGTGTCAACAGGACTGTCAATGGAAGGAAGTTCCCCAGTGTTCCCAGGAGTGGATAGAACAATGGGTTGTAGCTTCTGAGCCCCTGTAGTCACCCCAGTACTCAGTTCACCACTGTCAACATCTTGCTCACGAGAAAGCTGCAGCGTTTCTGTAATTAGAGCAGCTTTGGAAATGGCATCCTTGACAAAAGCTGTAATTTCCTGCTGGGAGTCAAATGCCTGATCTGAAGGGCCCCTTGCTGATGTTTCCTGAAAATCACTAGGCACTCCTGATGTGGACTCTGCTTGACGGGAGGAGTCAGTCACATCTGTTTCTTCCAGAAGCACATGAAGTTCGGCAGCACAGGTGGACTCTCCCCACACATTCTCCGCTTTACAGACATACAGGCCACTGTCTCCCCTCTGGGGGTCATTAACAATAAAGGTCCCAGAGCCATCAGGATTGTGAATGATGGTGTAACAAACATTGGTATGAAGCGGCTTGTTTTCTCTGAACCACAAAACAGTAGGGGCAGGCTCTCCATGTACCAGGTACTCAAAGACAGCAGGGATCCCTGGAGCACAGTGGACTGGTTTTAACTCCTTGAAGAAGTAAGGAGGACAAGGCCCTTCAGACTTTCCCAGAGCTTTCTCCACTTCCGATTCCACATCTTTGCACCTGTCTCCTTTTGGGGTTATTTTTAGGTAGGCACTACACACAACTTTTCCATATTCATTACTGGCCATGCATGTGTACTCCCCCTCATCCTCACATCTGGCAAACAGAATGATCAGGCTGTGGTTATCTCCATCAAAGACAAATTTGTAGTCAGCAGAAGGGCTTAGGAGCAGTCCATTAAAGAACCATTGGATTTTAGGCTTGGGGTAGCCGATGACAGTAACCGACAATTTAGCTACATCTTCAATGCTTATTTCGGCATCTGATACTTCTCTGATGAAAACGGGGGCACTGCCTTCCTGTCTGGAATCACACTGAGTGGAATGAGCTGCAGGCTCAGAGAAAAGTTCAAGCGTCTCATTCACGTTACGGAAGTGGAGATCAGAACTATGGGTTTGAAATTCTTCCTTGGCAGACAGAATACTAGCAATCTCTGTGTGGAGAAAAGTCATTATGATGTTATGACACAATATTAATTAACAAATAGTATCAGTTAAAGAATTAGACACCAATTACAGGCCTTCGTCATTGGACTTGGACTGCAGTGAGATTCATTTATCAAAAAACACATTCCTAAATTTTCTTAGCCTATTATAGAAAATCAAGCAGCTATAACTACTGTATAAAAGCAACTTTCTGTCCAGTTCATCTTGTAGGGTTTACAAAAGTGATAAGTCTAGATCTGGTCTGAAGAAATGCTAGGTAAATATTTATAAATCACAAGTCTAGGATTATTGGCATCAACTTCTAAAAACACATAGAATTGTTAGGTAGGATTTTCTTGAGTCTAATGATTTATCATTTCCAAAGAAAAAAAATGTTTTAGCTAGTACTTCTAAATGTACATCAGCAACAACAATTACTAGCCAGGCATAGTGATACACAACAGTAATCCCAGTACTTGGAAGGCTGAGGGAGGCAGGAGGATTTCCAGTTCATGACCAGCCTAAGGTCTTTCCTCTATCAGGCCACAGGTTTGATTCCAGCTCCTGAAGGAATCATTGTTGTCTATTTCTAGAAAAATCAGGTCTCCCCTCATTCAAGTAACTAGTCAAAATACTTCAAGAAATGCTTTATTAAAAGACGTTAGTTGAGAAAACAGAGAAATCAGAAGAGACAATGACTCCAATATCAAAATGTTGGTGATAATTTATTGTGTAAGTCAGTTGTACAGCATTATTGAACAGGGACAGCAAATAGCACATACTCTTTCAACAGTATCACATGCAACCAAGTGAGAGACGTGTAGTTTACCAAAAGGAAGTCAATTCTGAATTCAACCTGCTGAGGAATGAGCACTGCCCTGTTACTTGTAGTTTATTGTCTAAATGAAAAGCAATTTTATCATTTCATTAATCTACTTCCTTCACATTACACTGAATAGTGTCCTGTCTTAATTCCTTACTGGTCTAGCATTGTAGTATTGGAAGACAGGCTAGAGTCTGCAGGCTATAAAACATTAGTAAAACTTGTCTATAGCATGTAGAATACTTACTAAGCTATTTGTGACTGTCCCTGATAAGCCACTGACTGACTTCATACACTTACAACACTAAAGGTGGCCACTTAGCTTTGCATCTGTGCTGGGTCCATTAGCTTTCCCTTCTCTTAAACCCCCAAAATGCCTGCAAAGGGAATGGATGTGGATATAGTTAAAGTACCCTGAATTGATAATATGTTAAAATATTTTCAAAAGTTTCCCCTATTTCAAAACATGGTGTATATTAAAGACACATAAACACACACACTACAGTAAGTGAGCCTCAAATGTGTACAAACACGAATGCTGTAGTTAAAATTACCCTGGCTGGTAGCATCTCATGACAACATCTAAATTCAACTCTGTGTAACACATGGAATTCTGTATCCATCACCAGGGGTATTACTATCCCAGGCTTTAAAGCTGTGTGTCATTAAGTCAGAAAATAGAAAGTTCTATTTAATTGCTGTAAGTGTGGGGAAGACTTATTTTCTTTCAGCCATTGTTATTCAACACATCTTCAAGTTCAGCACATCTGAGACTAATGGAATCATAATGAGAAAAATCAAATAAAACCTTCCTTATGTGAATGGAAGTATATACTTAAAAATCAACAAATACTAAAACATTTACCTCCTTCCCTGCTTTCATCTGCTTTTCTGGGTTTTGGGTGTGATTGTGTTTGTAATATGTGGGTGAGTGTGCTTATCATGTTGGCTATGACATGATTTCTAATTAAACATACAGTATATAACTAAATGTAGAAAAACAAAAACCTCTTAAGTCCCCTTGCTACAGAATTAGCTGTACCAAAATCAGCTTGACAGAAGTGTGGCATATTATATCTAAATTATTATCAGAAGGTATTTAGGTACTTTCTGGATGAATCAAAAAACATTGTTCCACAATTGCTTATCACTGGTTGATGGTCACTCAAAACAAATACACTTTAAAAAATTTGGGTGTGACCCATTTTCTATACATGCTTTTAATCTTTTGGTTTGGATGATGTGAAAGAATTTCCATTGTGAGAATACCATCAACAGATGAAAGAAACGTAATAAATATTGTAGCTATATGAATTCTTATGGGAATTAAATCTGAAATAAATGCTGTATGTCTGATAATATTAATATGGCTAACACAATCATGGCCCTTAAATATTGCATTGCAGGCCTCAAGTACAGCTGTAGGTCATGATCGTAAGTTAAGAATGGGCGGTGAGACTGTTAATCTCATTCTCTCTTCCATTGTTTTCTCATCTGTTACAAGAGTCATCACCACTAGATGACAAAAAAGCTTGGTGTTGACTAGAACCTCTGAGGCCTTTTGATTGAATTCTGTATTTTTAAGTGAGAAAACTGACTTTTTCACACTTATTATGTCTTCTATGCAAAGATCAAGGTCCACATCGGTTCATACTCACAATTTTAAAATACTTATCAATTATTAAAATTGAAAGACAAAATTACAAAATTAAAATTCACTTTATAAACATAAATATCCTACTGGAATCTCAATGTTATCAATGTCTAGTTAGTTTTAAAGATTCAAATTATAAAGATAGTAAGAAGACTTAATCTATATATCAATATATATACAATATATATACAATATATATACAATATATATGGATATATATACATATATATCCTTAAACAAAATTTAACATATTGTCTCAGTTATAAGTGTCCCACCTTTCTTCTAATTTTAGAGATCCTGACACTTGTGTATAGTTAAGAATTTGTATGTAGATGAATATTGTAATATCCCCAGATTGATAATAAATTAATGCTGGACTTGCACTTGATGCCCAAAATGAGACAATAAAATATTTCCAAATGTATGTTTGCCCTGTAAATGTTTAGAAAAGCCTTCAGAGACTTTGACCCCTTCAAATCCAGTGATAATGCAAATACTCAAGATAAATAGGAATAATGAAAAAATCTCTTAAAAACAAAATTCATTATCAAGATTGCAAATAAACAGATTATGAAGTTGGCTACCATTTTGGCAAAGCTGGTTTCATTGCTTGCTTTGCCATCTTGCATCTTTGTAAATCAACATAGGTCTGTCTGAATATTAAGAGGCTTGGTGTTCAAAAATGACTTAGGGGCAGAGGGTGTTTTCTCTTACCAGTTATCTACGTGCTTATCCAATACGGTCACCTTTCATCCTACTTGGCATCTGCAGTTTACCTGCTAAAAGAGAATGCTGAAACATTCTGTGGAGGAGGGGGGGGGTCACAGAAAAGTAGAAACACAAACAATTGGGTAGCCAAGGAGGTGTTTAATCGTGCTGGATGGATGACACAGTGTAACTAACTGACACAAGTGATGGTTTCAGTGTTTAGAGTATTTACATGCATTACAAAGATGAGATTTCTACACAGAAAGACCATATCTCCAGGGGTCTTCAGTGTCAGGATCCAAATACAGTGGATACATCTGAAAGGTTGCTAATCCATAGATACTGGTAGTGACTGAAGCCCCGAGAAATCCCTCTCTTAAGAGAGGGTGAGAATGGCAGCGCTCCTAGCCACTCCTGAATTGTTCGTAGCCACACAGCTGTACTCTCCTCCATCACTTTTTATTAAGCCTGTTATGAACAGATTGTGGAACCCTATGCCTCTTTCCTCAGCACTGAACCTTGATCCCTGGACCAATTCTCCATCTTTGTACCAAGAAACGGTGGGTCTTGGAGAACCACGAACTAAACACTGGAAATATGCTGCTGTCCCTAAGGGGGCGTGACAATCAGAAATACCTTTGATAAACCTGGGAGGGCCTTCTACCACCTGGAATTCAAAAAAGCTGTCTGCATATTTGCTCTTTAAGACTAATTCCTCCTTCTGACTGCTTAAAGTCACTTTGCTTGTCCTTGTGATCATAGCAGAGACTTGGGATTCTCCCATGGTGAGGAAGCCTCGGCAGATGGCCTCTCCTGCACTATTCAGGGCTCTGCATCTGTATGTCGCACTATCAGAAGGGCTGATGTCTCGGATTTTAAGGCTATGAATCCCTTTTTCCTGACTGATTACATACTTCAAGTTATCTGGCTCAATGCACATATACTCCTTATACCACCTGACTTCCGGAGTAGGGATGCCTATGACAGAACATTTGAACACAGCATCGGAGTTTTCTGGAATTTTAAAATCACAAATGGGAGTTATAAAGCGAGGAGGCATTTCAAATGCTTCTAAATCAATGTTGAAATCTGTGGCTTCTTTCCCTCTGGACTCCATACTGAGATCTACGAGATTCAGTGGAAGGATATCTAAATTCACAATCATGCTTTTATGATCAGGGGTAAATTCAGGGACTGTGACTATTTTCACCTGCTTTTCAAATTCCTTTACATCTTTTTCACTTAATTCCACTTCCAGGACAATTTCTTGAGGGGAAGGTGTTCTTGATGAGCTGGCATTTTCCAAGTCAAACTCGATGATGTGCTGGTGGGTTACTGGTGGTGGGAGAGCCACAGCTCTTTCTTCTTGGGGTATTATGACTACACTGGCCAAGCTCTTGGCTTCCCCGATGATGTTTACTGCATGGCACATGTACTCTCCCCCGTCTCCTTTTTGAACGTTAGAAATTTCCAAGGAACACACATTGCCCACCCTTTCCATTTTGATTCTCTCATCTGGCTCCAGCAAAGATTTATTTCGATACCATTTCACACCAGGGACCGGAAGACCTTCAACTTCAATGATGAAGCCTAATGTTGTATTTTCATATATCTTCCTTTTGCTTAGAGGCTCAATAAAAGATGGAGGCATTTCATTGTCTTTGGGTTCGATGGCTTCATTAGGGGTGCCGAATGAATCTGAACGCCATATTTCATAAGATGAACTCCTCTCTTCTGTAGGTGTATGGAAATGTTCATTTGGTGTGCTATCTTCCCTCTCTATTTTTGATAGGTTTGTGCTTACATTTCTAGGATGGTTTGGT